GTGTCTCTTAGCTTGGGCTCCAGAGGGGGGGTCACCTCAACCTCCACCGGCCTCCCCATCCCCTGCTGGCCCCCAGACCCTTGTCCATGGTGCCCCCAGCCCCTTGTCCATGGAGGCACCAGATCATCGAGCTGTGAGGAGGAGGCTCCCCACAGGATGCTTTGCAGATGGGGCTTTGGAGGTCTTGGAGTTTTCCAGCCAAATCACCCTCTAAATTTCCTTGGCGTGGACCCAAGCCCAGCAGGGCCCCCAGTGCCAGCTGGCACTAGCCTTGCCTCCTACTGACACCCCACAAACTGGGGTTGCTCCCCCAGCACCAGGCAGGATGACTTCTTCATCCTCCATGAGAAGGACGCCGACAACTTCTTGGAGTCCATCTTCAAGACGGAGCTGATCAGCCTGTTGTGCAAACGCTTTGAGGAGCTTACCCGTTCCAAGCTGCCCCTCTCCTTCAAGGATACGTAAGGATGGGGGCCAGGAGAGGTGACAAAGCAGGACAGGGCCCTGTCACTGTGGTCTCATGGCCCTCTCTCTCCCCTAGACTACAGTTTCGGGTGAAGAAGGAGGGCTGGGGTGGTGGTGGCACCCGCAACGTCACCTTCATCAGAGGACAGGGCGATACGGCCGCCCTCAAAGCTGGAGGCAAAACCCTTATGGTCAGCATCGGAGATGGGCTCCCCAGGAATGCCAGTGAGTGCCAGGGCACCCAGGGGGTGGCAGGGGGGGCACACAGGAGCGCTGGGGCTGCAGGGCACAGCTGGAGGCCTGGGAATATTGGGGTGAGCCGGTGTGTGCCCAATCCTGCTGGGTTTGTGTCTCACCCAGGAGGGACCCACTTCTGCTGGGGTGATAGGGCAGCACAGGGAGCTTTGGGAACAGGACAGCTGGGTATAAATGGGGGGGAAGCCCCCTCAGCTGGCTCTGAGGACAGTCACTTAACAGAGGGCTTGTGTCCCCCCAGAGCCCACAAGGAAGGGGGCAGCACAGGGCAGAGGTGGCAGCAGGGTCCCAGCACCCTCCCGGACCGCCCCACCAGCACCCAGAGGTGAGGAGGGGGGTGCCAGGGAGGGGAGACCCCAGCCTGGATCCAACCAGTGCTGCACTCCCAGGGGGTGCAGGCTGAGCGTGGACCCCCCGTAATGCACCATCCTGGGATGGGATCTTCCAGGAGCTTGCAGGAACGGGGCACCCCAGTTCCCACAGGGTGATGGGCGGCCACAGAGGGACACCTACAAAGTGCCCCAGAAGCAGACACGGAGCCCACCGGCCACGGCACTGCCCCCCCCGAACACTGGCCACCAGCCCAGGACACGGCCCCCATCTGAGCACAACATGGATTTCCTCAACGTGCCTGACCAGGGGGTAGCTGGGTAGGTCCTGTCCCATGTCCCACTCCCTGACATATCCTCCCCTCCCACTGCCACCAGCACCAGGAGATGCTCTTTCCCCTCTGAGGAGCAGACCGAGTTGGGGCAACCTGCCTTCGCTGGCAGGACACATCTCCCAGGCTCTTGTGTATCCCAGTTCTCCCAGTCCCTGCACTGGAAGAGCCACCTGCAGGCATAGAGCATCCCATGGGTGTGGGGCAGCAGGATAGGAAGGAGGGTGCAGCACATCCTGGCCGAGTTCTCCCAGTCCCTGCACTAGGAGGACCCACCTCCTAGTAGACACGGAGCATCCCAGGGCTGTGGGAGGGCAGGGTGGGAAGGAGGGAGCAGCACACCCCCCCACCCTCCTGCCCTCCCCGTATGGACCTCGTTCCTCCCACCCCTCAGGATGCAGCGCCGGCGCAGTGTGAGCCAGCGGCCACCCCCAGCCCGGAGGCCCAAGGCCCAACCCAAGGCGGTGCCGCGGTGCCGGGCGCTCTACCAGTATGTCGGGCAGGATGTGGACGAGCTCAGCTTCAACGTGGGGGACATCATCGACATCCTGCTGGAAGGTACCAACCTCTGTCTTGCCCAGCTTCTCTCCCCGCTGTGGCAGCACCACCCCTGACCTGGCTGGTTCTCCCCTTCCCCAGATATCTCGGGCTGGTGGAAAGGCCGTCTGCATGGCAAGGAAGGGCTTTTCCCTGGGAACTACGTGCAGAAGATCTGAGCTGGGCGCAGCAACCATGTGGCCGGAGGCGAGGAGGGGGTCACCACCCTCCCAGCCCACCTCTGTGAGGCTGTGCCACATGGATCCATGGTAGTTCTCCACCAATGTTTATTATGGTGCAAGCGCTTCCCGCTGTGCTGGTGCCGACCACTGAATCCCACAGCTACTTTAGCTGGTGGCATTCCCACAGCAAGGACAGGCTCTTTGCTGCTTGTTCATACCCTGGGACTGAAACTATCACGGGATATAAATAGGATTGTTGTTAATAATTATGGTAAATAGTCAGACTCGGCAGATCTGACTCAGAAATTGGGTTTGGGGGTTTTGTTTCACACCAATGCCATCCCATGGCTCCCACTGGCCCCATGACAAGAGCTCTGATGTGGACAGACACTTACAGGAGGCAGCCCCATTCCACCCACATTAAACCCTCCAAAGAGGTTGAATACAGAAACCAGCTCACCCAGGAATTCAGCCCAGGCATCTCCACATCCCGGCATGGCTCTGGATCACTCACAGCCAGTGGGAGCTGCCAGGGCAGTAGCAAAGCAGGACCAAGGCACCGTCACCAATCCCTGATTTCTCACAGGTAAAGCTCCAAGGATCAATTAGACAAAGTCCATGGAGCTGTGACACGTTTTTCTGATGGTGGTCAGAAGACTGGGCCCCTCCAGTTTGCAGAGTGGGAGTCTCATCTATGGGGGGCCAGGGTCGATGCGTGGGGTGGAAATCACCATCCTTGGGACTCAGGGACACTCTACATCCCGAACTCCCAGGAGAGGATTCAGGAACACTCTCCACCCCAAACCCAGGACAGTGGGACAGCTGTGGCTGTGTGAGGGGTGTTGGATGGGGGCTGATTCCGACCCAGGGCTGTTCCAGGAGGTTTGCAGCAGGGGAAGGGATGGACGGGGCCGACATGTCAGGGCTCCTGTCGGCCCTCCCCGCCCTTCCCTCTCCCCCCCTCCGGAGGAAGTGACGACAGCCCTGATCCCACATGGCCCTGCCTCAGCCTCACATCCCAGCCCTCCTCTTCCTCCCTCCCGCTTCCCGCTGCCCCAGCACAGACCTGCTGTCCCACAGATGGGACCCCAGGGTGGGGGTGGCAGAGGGCAGGAATGCGCTGGGATAGGCAGTTCCCCATGACCCCACACTGAAAATGGTTCTTGCCCCCCAGCCCCAGTATGGGGTTTTACCACCCCTGTGGTCTTTGGGGTAATTTTTTCTCCAAATCACAGGTTTTTAGGATCCTTGCACTGCAAAGTTTTTTTTCCTTTGGTGGGGGGGTGGGAGCAGGCAGAGCCTTTGTTTTTATTTTAATGAAAAATAATGGCTTTGGAAACTGGGGATTTAGGAAACTCCTTCCTGCATGTTCCAGCCCTTCCTTGGGACTGAAGTGGGGGGAATGGGGGCAGCACCCCAGCAGTGGGTGCTGTCAAGTGGGACGTTCCCACTCAGCCCTACAGGCAGGTAGGAGTTGGACCAGCTCAGGCACTCACTGGGATGTTCCAGAGGGCTCCGGGGGCTCTGAGGGGCTCACAGGTCTCTCAGGAGTTTTGAGGTCTCTCAGGAGATCCAGTTGTTCTGAGGGTCCTGGAGGCCCCAAGGGGCTTGGGTTGCTCTTGGGGGCCACTCAGGAGCTGACAGGGTGTCCCAGGAGTCCAGGGTGTTCCAAGGGTGTCCCAGAGGGCCCTGGGATGCTCTAAGGGGGATCAAAGTGCCCTGAGGGGTTTGGGGGGCTCCAAAAGGCTTGGGGTGCCTTGGGATGCTTCAAGGGGTCCAGGGCTTCCCAAGGGGCTCAGAGCGCTCTGAGGGCTGTGGGATTCCATGAAGGTCCCCAGGATGCCCTGAGGATTCAGGATGAGACTGCTTCAAAGCCCTGAGATGCTCCAAAGGGCCTGGGATGCCCTAAAAGCTCCAGGATGCTCAGAGGCCACTGGGATGCTCTAAGGCCCCGGGATACTCCAAGGCCCCCCAGGATGCTCCAAAGGCCCTGGGAATGCTCCAAAGACCCGAGGATGCTCTGACACCCCCTCCCCCCCCCCAGATGTTCCGAAGCCTCGGGATGCTCCAAGCCCTGGGGATGCTCCGAAGCTCCCGGGATGCTCCAGTCTCCCTCGGGCGCTGAGATGCGGAGTGGGTGGAATCACCCGGGAAAAACAGGCGGGGGGGGGGCACCGGGGCGGGGCCGGGTTCCGCCCCGCGGCCCCCGCTCTCCCTTCCGCACACTCCTTCCTCCCTCCCCCCCCGCCATCCTCCTCCTCCTCCTCCTCCTCCCCCCGCTCTCGCGACAGCTCCGCACAGAAAATGGCCCCGCGGCCGCCCCGCCGCTGATGCGCGACCCGGGCGGCGCCGCAGCCCCGGTACGGCCGGGGGGGACCGGGAGGGCCCAGGGGGAGCGCCTGGCACTGGGGGGACCGGGGCAACAAGGGGTGACGGGGGGCGGCACCGGGAGGGGAGCACCGATATTGGGGGTTCACCGGTATCGGGGCATGTACCGGTACATGGGGGGTGTACCGGTATATGGGGGGTGCACCGGTATGGGGAGTGTGCCGGTATCGGGGGTGGAGCGGCACAGAGGGGATGTAGAGGCACCGGGGGTTGACCGGCACCGGTGGATATGCCGATATCGGGGGGTGTACCGGCACCGGGGGGGAGCACCGGACACCGGTCCCCCGGGGGGCTGGGGTCGGCAGGGAACCGAGCGGGGGGGCGGCACCGGGAAAGGAGCACCAGCACCGGTGTCGGGGGATGTACTGGCAGCGGGGGTACCGGCACAGGGGGGCTGTAGCGGCACCGGGAGTGGACCGGCACACAGCGGGTGTACCGGTATTGGGGGCTGTGCTGGCACCGCCGATTGTGATGTACCGGCACCGGGAGCTGTCCTGGCGCCTGGGACAGTATCGGCACCGGGGATATACCGGCACGGGGGGTGCACAGGCAGCGCGGGCTTTACCGGGCACCGGGGTTAGAGCAGCACCGGGAATGTACCGGCGATGGGGAGAGAGGTACCAGTACGTGAGGTGTACCCCGGCGTGGAGGCTGTACCGACACCAGGGGCTGTGCTGACACTGGGCATGTACTGGGGAGGTACCAGTAAATGGGGTGGACCAGCACTGGAAACCTGCTCCTGAATGGAGCTGAGACCTGACCAGGTGGGTACCAGCCATGGGGCTGCTGCCCACGCGGGCTCCAGATCCGTGGGGGTGCTTCCCGTGGCTCTGCTACCCCCAGGACTAGTAGCCATGGCTGCCCATGGGGGGCTACAGAAACCACTGCCCATGAGGGGCTACCCAATGGGGCTGGAACCCATGGGGTTACCTGTGGGGCTGGTAGCCCAGGGACAGCTGGCCAAGGAAGCCACTAGTCCCAGGTCTTTGCAGGCTGGTGTGGCCCGTGGGAGCACCAGGGTGCCCCAGGTATCCCAGGATGCACCTGCTGGGATCTCCCCATGGTCACTCTACACTCCCACTCCCATGGGAGCTGCTTTGTTGCTGTCAGAGACGGGGGATGCCGCTGCTGGAGCAAGGGGGCTCTTGGCCTTGGCTGTGCTGTTAACTTGGCTGGGGCCAGCCAGAGCTGCTGCTCAGGAACAGCTTTATCCAGGCTCAGGGATGAAGCTTCAAACTCCCCAGGTGGCTCCCGAAGGGAAAGAGGTTTTTTTCCAGCTGCAGAGCTGATGTAGCTGTGGGTGGATCAGCCAGCCATGGGCAGGCAGGTAAAGGTGGGCACCAGGATGGTGTGGGGGCAGGGGGGAATGGCAGCAGGGCTCTTCCCCATTCAGTGGCTTGGAGCAAGCTGGGGAGATGAAGCAAGCTGGGGGGGGGATGGCAGGGACCCCTGGGCTGTCCAGAGCAGCTTTGCAGGAAGAAAGGCCTCAGCTGAGCTGCCCCCACATCCACCACAGGGACGTGGCACCGAGGCCACGCTGAGACTCAGCACTCACCCCCGTGGATGCCCATGCTGTCACTGGGTTCAGGGTGGGCTCCACAGGCTCTCCAGGCAGATTCTCAGAGTTGGAAAGCAGGGAAAACACTCTGGGAGATGTAAAACACCAAGGCAGAGGCTTTGCCCCAGCCCACACCGGGATTAGGGCACCCACGTCGTGTCGGGTATCGCAACACCACGAAAATACCCAGAGCTTTTTCCCCCCCACCAACACCCCAACTCTCTGAGGGCTCCTTGTGATATCTGAAGGCACCGGGAGGATTCACAATGTGTATTTTAATGTAGGACATGGGTTTGAACCCGGTGGTGGGGGCTGGTGGCACGGGCAGGAGCCGTTGCCGCTGGCACAGCCGGAGCTTCCTCCCTCCTCGCTCGCCGGCTGCGCGATCACATGAGCCCCTTGTTCCCAGCCTTTGTCTCGTAGGAGACGCTTGGGGAATCCTCCTCATCCTCATCCTCTGGCCTCAGAGCACACACAGAGATGCTCAAATCGGATTATTTGACCCGTTTATCCTCCCTGGGTGGGTTTATAGAAGTCTTGGGGATGTGGATAAACCCCCCTGGATCGTTGGAGGGAGATGAGCTGTATTAATTATTCACTGATTCAGCAACAGAGCCTGCTCGGGGTGACCAGCAGCTGCAAAGCCTCCTGCTCACCCTCATGGCTTAAAGGATTTTTTGAGATCCCTGTTCACTGCAGGGGTTGGAGTGAGGGGGTTTGGTGTCAGCGGGTTTTTGGGGAGACTGAACCTGTGACAGGAAAACCCTGGGAATAGTGACAGGTGGCTCTAGGATTTGGGTTTCCAGGGCAGGTTTGCACTGGTGTTGAGGGGGGTCAGATCTCTGAGGGAGTCATATCACTGAGAGAATCACATTTCTGGGGGCATCCCATCTCTGGGGGAATCATGTCTCTGGGGGAGTCACATCTCTGGTGGCCACAGGAGGTCACTAGGGACAGTGGCAGGTCAGCGGCTCCTGGACCAGAGTGTCGCTCTCAGGGTTGCAGAACAGAAGGTCCTGGAGGATGGGAAGTGTTGGCCACTGTCCCATGGGAGGTGACAAATGACAGCAAGATGATACAGGTGCCACCTGCTCCCCAAAAACCCATCCCTGGGCCGAGCCCAGCGCGATGCTGCAGTGCCACCGTTGTGTCCTCTGTGTCCATCCTGCCTGGCCTCATGGGATCTGCCCATAGCATCTGCTCAGGAGGCATTTTCCCAGTGGAAAAAAATCAGCTTAAAATGCATCACTGGGGTATTGCCTGTAACGGGGAAATGGAGAGAGGCGTCAAAGAGGGAGAGGAGGGGGGTTCCAACGTCCAAAGGCACTGCTGGGTTTGACCCTGGAGCACCAGGAGCTCCCTGCCCAGGAGTTGACAGCCCTGCTGCGATGCTGCTGAGGAATAATTTCCTGGTTTCTTGGAAAAACTTCCTTGTGCTCCAACTGAGCTCCTGGTGCCATGGGTGTCCTGCTCCTTTAAATGGCTTTTCTGGCGGCCATCGGTGCCCTGGGGGCTGTCAATCCAGGCAGTGGCAGCCAGGATTGATCCAGAGCCAGTGATTCCAGCAGGGAAGCAGGAAGCTGGTTCACTGATCTCAAGGACTGACATTGCCAGGAAATGCTCCAGCAGCTCCGTAGCTCCAACACTTCGGGGGCAGACATCCCTGAGCAGGCAGACATAGTGCTGCCTCGACCCTTTTAGTGATTTCTGCCCCAGAAGAAGATTCCCAAGACTTTTTTTCCCAGCAAAAACTGCATTTCCCCCAATAAAACAAAGCTTCATCAAAGCTGCTGTGAAGTTTCTGCTCAGTGTTTACCCACAGTCACACAGAGATGAAGGATGGAGACGGAGCATCCCCTCCAGCCAGGGCTGGATTTCCCCTCCTGGGACATGATCAGCCCCAGTCTTGTCCCACATTCTCTGCTCCATGGCCAACTGATCCCGGCCTCGGTGCTGATTCCATCCCAAAGCCACCGAGCTGAGAAAACAACAACAAAAAAAGCAACACAACCCCCAGAAAAAGCCTGGAGCCTGGGGGCAGCCACAGGAATAATCCCACACAGATTCTCCCCACTCTGATTTGTTGCCCGCTGGGCTGCAGTCCCAGTGTGCTGGGTGCTGCAGGAACAGCTGCTGAGCCTGGCTTGGCCAGGCTGAGCCCTGCTGGGTGAGACCCCCCCGGAGCTGAAAGCTGGGAGAATGCCTCTGGAGCAGATGATAGCGGGAAGGTCTGGCAAGGCTGGGAGGGATGGGATGCACCATCCAGAAGAGCTGATCCCCAGGGAGATGTTTCCTTCAGGAGTCATTGAGCTCTTGGGGAAATATTGACCTTCTAAATAATGGCCAATGTGCTCGTGGCAGCCACTCCACAGCCTCAGCACTGATGATATTATTATTATTATTATTATTATTATTACTATTATTATCATCATCAGCTTTATTATCATTATCAGCATTTTTACCATTTTTATTATTATTATTTTATAATTTTGTCATTATTTTCATCATTGCTTATTATTTATTAACACTGTCGTTATTACCATTATTATTATTTCCTTTTTCACTTCAACATTAAGACACTATTCAGAAATCTCCCAAAGTGGGGGCTTTTTTTGGATCCTTCTCACTGGGAATTAGTGTTTGGCTTTTCCATGTTGAAGCCTCGTGCCAAGGTGTGCTGAGGCCAAGCCAATATAATTTTGGTGACCAGGAACTGTCCCCACATGCCAAACAGCATCTCCTGGTCATGCAGTGGAACCTGCTGCTCCCCTTGGCTGGAAAACCCTTTGGAACTGTGGGAGGAGCATCCAGTGAGATCCCCCAGCCCAGCTGGGAGCAGGGAGGGGCTGAAGCAGCTCCAGCAATCCCTTCAGCCATGCCTTGGCCTGTAGTTTGGGAGGAATTTTTGGATATACAGATGCCATGGGCTGGGAACAAAGCAGGATCCTGGTAATGCCTGGAGGGGGCTGTGCAGCCGAGGGGGCCTTTGGGGCCTTTGTGGATCACCCTGGGGTGGGGTGGGAGAAGCAGGAGGGGACAATGAAGCTCCGAGTCCAAAGCCCCCCCAAGCAGAGACACTTCCAAGGCTCCTTGAAGCTGGGATCTCCCGCTGGCTTGGTCCCCAGGGTGGGAGGTCTGGTCTCAAGGCCACAGATCACTGAGGGGAGGAGGAGGAGAATCTGACCTCTCGCCCTTGCTCTCGGTGCAGCATCATCAGGAGGAGCCTCCGTGGGCACATCCCTCACCCTGTGCCCTGCACCGCCAGGCCATGAAGACAGAGAAGGACGAGGCTGTGCCCACCTTCTCCCTGAGGGGTAAATACGGTGGAGAGGGGACAGGTGAGTCCCCTGTACCACGGGGTAGGGGGTGGGGAGAGGAGTCAGGGCAGGAGCAGGAGGAGAAGCCTTTGGTCCCGTTGCTGTGAGGTCTCTTTGGCCACATCCTGCCCCAGAGGTGGCTGGGAGCGCCATGGGGATGTGCACAGGTGTGCATGGATGTGCTTGGATATGCACAGGTGTACAGGGGAGGTACAGGATTCTTCGGGTGTCCTGTGCAGGGCCAGGAGTTGGACTCGGTGATCCTGGTGGGTGCCTTCCAACTCACCCTATTCTGTGATTCTATGAGTGTGCAGGGATGGCCCAGGTGTGCAGGGATGGGCCCAGGTGAACACTTGGCATCACCCAGTGTGTCCCAGTCACCACCAGGCTTCACCTTCACATCAACAACTTTTCCTGCAGGAAAGCCCCTCCCAGCTCTCACACCCTGGAGGGCTCCAGCCCCTCCAGCCACACCTCCCATACCCTCCATTGGCAGCCCCCCTATTTTTGAGGGAGGGAGGAGGGCAGAGGGAGGTGGTTGGGCAGGGCCGAGCCTTGTCACTGTCTCATGGTCTCTCCCCACAGGCTGCAGCGAGGTGGCTCTGCCCGGTGCCCCGATGTTGATGGCCGGAGGGACCCCAGCCCAGGACCTGCGGCCCTTGAAGCGCAGACCTGTCCCAGGTGAGCCCCAGCCCTGCCCCGGGGAGGGAACAGTGACAACCAGGGCAGGAACGAGGCCAACGGATCTGTCTCCTTCCAGGGAAGCACTACCAGTGCTCGAGCTACGGCTGCAAACTGGCCTTCCCCAGCATGCAGGAGCTGATGGACCACCTGAAGGTCCACTACAGACCCACACAGTCCCTCGAGGGTAAGGCCAGGACACCCCACATGCCCCTTTTTTTGTCTGGGAGGGGGCAGAGCGGGGCTCGAAGCAGAGGCAGCACAGGTGGTGGTGCTGGTACCTCTAGGAGATGGGAGTTGAGGGTGGTGTGGGAAGTGCTGCAGACCCACCAGTGGGGCTGTTCCCAGCTGGGATGTTGCTGAATCTCTACCTCTGAATTGCTTCACTCAGGCAAAACCTTCCACTGTCCCACGCTGGGCTGCACCGAGACCTTCCCCAGCATGCAGGACCTCATGGCCCACATGAAGGTGCACTACAAGCCAAACCGCTACTTCAAGTGAGTCCCTCTGGTCCCTGTCCCCATCCCACTTCCTCCCTGGGGGGCACCTGGCTGATCCCAGAGAGCCCTGAGCACGTGGGGTCCCACATCCACAGACCCCGATCCCAGCGGCAGCCCCCGGGGTTGGAATGGGGGTGGTGTGGAGGGATCGTCGTGGGGGTGATGTGGAGGGAGCACCACCACTGAGGGTGCCTCCCCAACCCCCCCCCCAGGTGTGAGAACTGCCTGCTGCGCTTCCGGACACACCGCTCCCTCTTCAAGCACCTGCACGTCTGCTCCGACAGCGCCAGCAGCCCCGCACCGCCCCCCAGAGCCGACAAGCCCCTCCTGCCTCCTGCTACCTCCGCCGTGGACAAGGAGCCCCCGGCCAAGCCGCACACCGAGGGGCTCCCCAAGCTCCCGAGTGCTCTCCCACGGCCCCTGGAGAAGGAAGCCCTCCTGCCCGGCGCGGACTCTGCCGCGGCGCCGGCCGCGCTGCCCACCAGCCTGCCCGAGCTGCCCGGCTCGCTCGAGGCGCTGCCGCTGGTGCCGCCGGCCCCGCACCCCTTCCCGCTGCTGGAGCCCGGCCTTTTCGGCCCTTCGTCCTTGACTCGGTTCTCGGGGCCACCCCCGTCCTCGATGCCGGGGCCGTTCCTGTCCTACGTGCCCCCCTCGCCCTACGCGCTGCCCCAGCCCCCGGCGCAGCACCGCCTGCGGCCCTTCCTGCCGGGCCACGGCCCCGCCGTGTCCAACGCCGTCTGGAAGAAAAGCCAAGGTGAGCGTTCGGGCAAAAAAAACCAACTTCTGCTCCCGCCTTCACCAGCAGCTCTCCCCGGAGGAGGACCCGCCGCCGCCCAGCCGAGGATCCATCCCCCTCCTCCGGAGCCGCCCCGGCCCGCCCCCCAAGCCCCGTCCCATCTCCTCCGCCCCCTCCATCCATGTTCAATTGGGACAAAGCACCGGCGACCACCAGAAAAAACGCCTCCAAATTTTCCCGGCCCTGCTGCTCCCCGGCGTGCTGGGGGTGCGAGGCGGGGGGGCCAGGCCAGGCCTGCCCTCCCACGTGTCCCCCCACCCCAGGGAGGGGAGGACCTAATGTTTGTCTTGCCCCTCGATTCCCTCCGCAGGTGTGAGTGTCAGCCCACTCCTCCCATGCTTTGGCTCAGGAGTGACTCCAGGTTAGTTTGGCACCTACTGATTGGGGGCTGCTTTCTGTCACCGGGGGGGGTTTGGGGGCGGCGGGGGGGCCACAGGGGGATGGGAGAAGCCCCACGGGGCACCACGGTGCTCCAGGGAGAGCAGAGGGGGAGGGCAGGCTCCCTCATTGTTTTTGGGAGCCACACAGAGAGGGAATGTGGCCCAGGTAGGCTCGGAGGCAGAGGGGTCGCTGGCTGTGCCCCCCCAAAGCCCCCCAGCCTTGTCCTGAGGGCAGAAGCAGCAGGATGAGGAGCAGCAGCAGCTCCGTGGGCTCCAGTCCCCCCAGTCCGGAGGCCAAACTGGAACCCTTTGCTCCGTGTGGCACGGAGAGAAGACACACAAGGGGAGGTCGTGCCCGGGGGGCACAGCCTCGCTCCCTGCTCCCAGATTTGAGGTCCCTCCCTCGGGAAGGGAACCCCCCGTGCATGTAGGGCTGGGAGCCCCCGGCCCATCCGAGCCCCCCACGGCACCCGGGAACGGCCGCTGGGGGTGATCCCTGTGCTTCCCTGCCCGCCCGTCCTTGCAGGGCACTCCTCCAACAGCCGCATCGTGTGGGAGCACACGCGGGGCCGCTACTCCTGCACCCAGTGCCCCTTCTCGGCCGCCTCCCGCGAGGAGATGACCCTGCACATCGAGGACCACCGCAAGAACCCCCCGCCCGGGCGCCTGGACGCCGAGATGGGTACGGGGGGGACCCCGAACTGCCGGGATGCTCGCGGGAATGGGGTCAGTCTGTCCCGCAGGGATAACGCGGATCCTCCTCCGTCTGTCCTGGCGGGGGATGACCGGCCCTGGGGTGGATCCTGGGCTGCAGCTTCTGCCCCCGCCCCAGCCTGTTGCAATGCCCCGGGGTGGGGGGGTCCATGTGCCCTCTCTGTGCCCTCTAGCCCCTGGTCCCCCCCAGCCCATAGGAATGTCCCTGGTGGGGGCAATAAATGACCTGGAGAGGTCTGCGTGCCCTCCCAGTGCCCTCGTTCCCTGTGCCCCCTCTCCTGCAGTAACGCCTCTGGCGTTTTGTGTGCCCCCCAGCCCTTTGCCCCCCAGCCCGCATCAATGACCTGGAGGGGTCTGTGTGCCCTCCCAGTGCCCCCCAGCCTCTGCAATGCCCTGGGGAGTGCCATGTTTCCTCCCTGCAGCCCCCAGCCCCCGAGCCCCTGGGTATGAGGGACTCCACAGTGCTGACAGCTCTCCCCCCTCTCCCTGCAGATTTCGGGGTGGGTCTCGCCTCCTTCCACGCCAAGATGACGCCGGAGATGGAGAACTCCCTGTACTCCCAGCTCTGATGCCCCGGCTCTCACGGGACTGCTCCTGCTCCTGCTCCTGCTCCTGCTCCTGCTCCTCCCCATCCCTCCCCCCGAGCCGGGCAGGGGGCACCGCCCAGCCCCTGCCACTGGGCTGGGACAGGGATCCCTCCCTGGGCACCGGGAGCACCCCCAGCCCAGCCCGGGGTGCCAGAAGGACGGGTGTTTCCTCTGGAATTTTCTCCCCTCCCTTTTATTTTCGGAAACTCTTAAGCACCCGAACCCCCTCGTTCTCCCTCCCCCTAAAGGTTTCGTTGCTTCAGCCCCCGTGGCTCTGGTAGGAGCCGAGTAGGTTGCTCAGGAGTTAGTGGACTTCTCTGGAATGAAACCTCGGAATAATAAATGGGAATTGTACAGGAGTGGTGGCCGGGAGAGGCTCTGTCAGTGCCTGTGGTGGCTGGGGTGAGGGGGGAGTGGGGCCACCCCTAAGGATGCCCCCCCAAAACTAAAGGCGAGGAGATGGGGGAATTCAGGGAAGTCTGTGTGTCACTCTGCTCTGGGCAGGTCTGGGGAAGAGGAGGGTTTGAGGAAGGTTTGAGGGGGACAGATCCCCCTCAGATCTGTCAGCACATTGCAGACCACGAAGGGCTCCTGAGAAGCAGAGCTGGAGCTTCTGCCAGCTGCACCCAGCACCCAAAATGGGCACCCAAACCAAGGTGGGACCCCAGCCCCCTACCAGCCTCGGTGCACAGGCAGAGGTGCCAAGAAAAGGGCATGGACAACCTTTGGGGTGGAGTAGGGCCCCTGTGCCCGACCCTGAGGGGGCTGCACCCCCTGTGGGAGCCGAGCGGCCGCACATTCCCAGCCCGGGGCTCCCCAGGTCCTGCTTTGCCTGATCCCATCCCAGCAGGGTGAAAAGTTTGCTCCAAACTGGTTTGGGGAAGGCGTGCTGGGACATGCTGGGACGTGCTGGTGCCCACACTGGCCCTGGGATGGGAGTCATGGGAGCACCGGCACCCCCTGCTCTGCACCCCGGGGTCGGGGGCTGCTCCAGCCCCAGGAGGGGACACAGCCCTGGGATAGGCCTCAGGGGGTCCCCTTGGCCAGGCTGGAGATCCCTTCCTCCTGCTGGGATCCCTGCACATGGAGAGCAGCACCTTGGGATGCCCTAGCTCTCTCCTGCTGTCACCCCTGTATTGGGTGGGGTCATGGCATGGAGGTCTGTGCCCCTGTACCCTCCCCAGTCCAGCACAGACCCTCCCTCACCCCAGTCCTAAGCAGGAGGGTGGACATACTGAAGTGTCCCTCAGCTGTAGCCCTGGCTGCTGAGACCCGACAGAGCGACAACTCATCACAGAGCCGGTGCAGGATCAGAGCCCTGGCGAGGGGAGGGACCTCCCAGCCCCCAGAGTGGGGGGCACTGTGGCACTGCCACAGCTCCCTGCGGGCACAGGCAGCTTCCCTGGCCCCCCAGCCCACCCTGCCCTACTGAACCCCACATTCCTCCTCCAGGGCAGGTGCCCACCCCAAAAGGCAGCAGTGGGACCATTCCCAACCTGTCCCTGATCCTGATACAGCTACAGCCACCTCCGAGGGCAGAGAGGGCGGGTTCTGCAGACACATCCCTGCTGGGACCCACTATGAGCACTCCTGGCTGTTCCCATGGCAGAGGCAGCCAAGACAACCCCCACTGCAATGGATTTTTAAAAACTGAAGTCTTTATTAAAGTTTTATCCAAATTTTGTAACAAAAGATACAAAAGGGCTGGAGATCCTTATTTCTGGGACTAGTCTGACCAATCAAAACCTGACAGTTACTAGGCTAATATAAAATCCATACAATCTGCTAAAAATGCAGGGAAAAAAAAATTAGAACTGCTGCTCTGACATTTCTTTTTTTAAAAGTTCCTTAAAACATTTATAAGTTACTCAGTTTGCATTTTACAGGATTAGTTCTCCGAATGGTTACAGCGACTGTACAATGCAAGAGACAACAGCGAGAACAAAGAGCAACGGGATGTGCTGCAACACACACCACTCCTCTGAGGGAAGAAGGGCTGGAGTCTCGGGATGGCCCGGAGCACCCACCGGGAATGCCACAAAGTGCCAGTGCATGTCTGCACCCGTGGGAGCCCCGACAGCAGGACAGCAGTGACCCCCACCCCCCCCAGCACCCAGCAGGGACCCCCCCGGGTGCCAAAGGGCCAGTTCTCCCAAGGGATGTGCTGGCTGGACACCTCCAGGAACAGGGAAGGTGGGAATGGGGTTGGGAACGCTCCTGGCTGGATCCCCCAAATCCTCCTTCCAGCGCCTGTGGGGTGAAGGGACACAGGCCCCACTGAGGGGAGAGCTGGGATTCTGCTCCGTGCTGGGAAGGGAGGAGGAGGATGCAATGCCAGGCTGTCCAGAGCTGGCACTGGCTGGCAGAAGGACCCTGAGAATTCACAGGCTAACACGGTCTCCGGGGAATGCCGAGTTAGGAGCATCACAGTGATAGTGGCTGTTCTGTACAGTGAGAAATGGAGTCTGATGGAAGTGCAGTATCCCTTCACCTGGATTTCCTATCCCTTCCCAAAGGCTGCCCTGGAGGAGCCTCACCACGGCAAAGGCAAAAACCTGACCCACCTGGATATCCAAGTGATGGTTTTTAGGTGGCCACTGGGAAAAATATTCCAGTTTATCAAATAAAATAGGAAAGCAAGTGCAGGGCTACTGCAAGGTGCATGGTCAGAGGTACCAGGTCATGCAAGCAGCCCCCCCTCCCCTCCCCAAAACCCCACATCCCCAGCACTAAAGCATCTTCAAGCATGTCCAGAGATCACATCACCATGATTTCAGATCAGACACCCTCAGGGATCATTTTCACTTCGAGTCCACGGAGATGAACCAGATTCTCCACCCAAGGTGGCTCAAGAGTCTTCAGAGAGCTGGTCTGAGGGATGGCAAAGACCTTCAGTGCTGGCTGGGTGTGAGCTGGAGCTCTGGATCCAGTGTGGCACAGCTGATTTGGGACACAAAGATACCCTAAGGAGGAGATTTTTTTTCTCTTTTTTTTTTTTTTCTTTTGGATTTTTTGTTCTTTTTTTTTTTTTTTTTTTTTTTTTTTTGCAAGCTGCTGCACAAACCACCGAACGGAGAAAAGCCTTTGGTCATGAGATAACTTGTGAGAAAAAGTGAGCCTTGTATGGAAGATTCCCCTGAATGCCTACAGTATTCTAAATCTTAAAAAAATATATTGTGGACGCTGCAGCCATACAAAGGGGGGAGGAGGAGGAGTGGGAGATGGGGATTTACAGTCTCACATAGACACAACGGGGAGGTTTAAGACAAGCACAGTCAGAGTCTGTAAAACTGATTGGCTCGCTGGGCTCAGTCATCCTCATCGTCCTCTTCGTCCTCTGGGTCTTCCTCTCCTTCATCCTCTAGACTTCGTTTTCTCTTCTGCCCACACGGATGGTCTGCAAAGAGAGGCCAAGGGTGAAGTTCTGCCCAGCCCTGGGGAACAGCAGCTGAGCTGTGGCCTCACAAGGCACATCTGGGAGCAAAACCAGCACCATTCCAGAGCAGAGATCCACTCTACCCTGCTCCTCGTGGCACATGGAAAAGCCTGGGATAGCAGCAGACATGAACTACTTTCTGTGCCCTCTGAGCATCCCATATTTCAACAGCTGCTGGAAAAGGGGTTATTTTTGTTGAGGACCCTCAAAAACGCAGCATCTGCAGAATTCAGTCATTTCTAACCAAGTTCACATGCCCTGTGCTGGACACTGGTGGGGCCTCAAATCCTGGGGACAGTTCTGGGCCCCTCAGGACAAGAAGGACCTTGAGGGGCTGGAGCGTGTGCAGGGAAGGGGCTGGAGCACCAGGAGCAGCTGAGGGAGCTGGGGGGGCTCATCCTGGAGAAAAGGAGGCTCAGGGGGGACCTTCTGGCTCTGCAACCCCCTGACAGGAGGAGGGAGCTGGGGGGGGTCAGGCTCTGCTGCCAGGGAACAAGGGACAGGAGGAAAGGGAACAGACTCAAGTTGTGCCAGAGGAGGTTTGGGTTGGATATTAGCGAAAATTCCTTCACGGGAAGGGTGGTCAGACACTGGCACAGGCTGCCCAGGGCAGTGGTGGAGTCGTCATCTGGAAGTGTTCAAAAACATGTGAATGTGGCACTTAGGGACATGGTTTAGAGGTGAACACGGTGGTGTTGGTCTTGATATTAACAGGGATTTCCCAACCTTAACATTCCATGAGTCATCCAAGATCGTTGGAATTCACACCAGCCACAACATTCTATCAACATTCATTTGGGTGTTTATATTTGTTAAAACCAGAGGAGTCTGGACCCAAGAAGCTCAGGTCTGCAGCTGAACTGGTTTTCTAGGCAATCTGCCTCAAATATTTGGCAGAATTATCCAGAATGGTTGGAATTAGGAGGTACTGAAACCTGTTTTCCGTCCCCTTTGTGACCCTTGGTGATGACACTACTCAACATCAGCTTGGGCAGAAAAGCTGCAGCAACAACAGCCCTGCACTGAGGCTTGGGGAGCTCTAAAAACACCAAATATTTGTTGAGGCAGCTTTGGTAAGAAATTGGTTTGTTAGGATTCAACTCACCATCTTCAGCTTCATCCTCTTCATCCTCCTCACCATCTTCCTCCTCATCTTCCTCCTGGAGTTAAAACAAGGTATTTTGTTGCAAGAACCACAACTCCCTGAGCTGTAACTCCACAGCAATCTCTGCTCCCACCCCACTGAAGCCTCAAGGTGCTAGGGAGAAGCTGTTGGTTCCCAAATAGCTCCTCAATCCCTATGGATGGGGCTGCATGGCTTCATCACTTGGGGCCATGGGAAGTACCAGGACAAGCCTGAACTGGAAAACTCTGTGGACCATGAGTCAAAAGGTACAGGGAAAAAGTCAGAGGGGATGGCAAGCTCCTCAGATCTGCCCTCAAAGTGACACCTGGGTCACCAGACAAGGGATAAATGCATGACCAAACAGCCCGGTGACAGAAAGCCTCACCTCATCATCTACTCCATCCTCCTCCTCTTCACCTT